CCCCCCCCAATGAGAAGGCAGCTTTTTTTGGGAAAAGCCGCGCGAGGACATTCAAACGGGCTCTTCCTGCGCCTCCTTTTGAGCGGCATGAACGAGAAAGGCGACGAGGCCAGGACGCCATCGCCGGGCCATGCCAGCTTACTCGCTTTTCTTTGAAGGAGACGGAAAGTGACAGCTGGCAGCGGCGGCGGCGTCAAGTCAAATGGGGCTGCTATCGGGTTGGAGGCGCAAGATAGAAAGCGTGGCCTTCCGTGTCCTTTTCACACAAGAAGCCAGTGAAGTCGTCCCAGCTGCCACGAAAGCCCCAACCGAACGCGGGGCGAGTGAAAGGTCGGCTCTCCAGCTGAGAGTTGTAAATTTGAGATGTCAAAGTGCGGCAAAGACGTACGCGGCCTTGGACAGGTGCAGATCCGGAAGGAGCTTTTCCATCCCGACGCGCTTACGGCCAAACAATGGCGGCCCTTCAACGCCGCCGCTGGAGACGGGGGAGGGGAAAAAAAAAGCTCAAGCGCCACGACACTAATTTGAGCCAAAATGTCAGCGCAGAGCAGGAGTCAAGTCTGCTGATGATTTGCACATAAAGGGATTTTCACATCGAAATCTTCTTACCGGGGTTAGAGTGAGTTCATAGACGGAACAATCCCATGGTTCCCTTTGTTTGCGTACAAACACCTTCAGCGTATCCAACTCCGATGAAAAAAAAAAAACAAAAGTGCGGGTTGTGGTGCTCGCGGTGAGCAAAGATTGGGCGGGCTCTTGCAAATCCGTGTTTCCACACATGCGCAGACCAAGACGAAGGCTCCCGAAGCGGGGGGGGGGGGCAGGGAAAGCGCACCAGTGCTGACGCAGCGTGAAAAACGGCCCTGTGTGCATTTCCACTTGGCCCGGGGCCAAAGAGATGAAACAGAGGAGGACCCCGCCTGACGCGAGCAATGCTAGCGTCAGGCTGAAGGTTGCTCACGAATCGGCGTACGCAACACCCATCGCCTGATATTTTCCGAGTGTGACAACAACAAAAATCAAAAGCATGAATCCCCATTTTGTTTTCTTTTGAAAAGAGTTGAGTTTGATCCAAAACGTGAATATTTTTGTTATTTTTCAGATTAAAAAAAAAAACTGAACTGCAATTAGTTGATGTTAGCCTTTTTCACATTGTAATTTTGTCACATTTTCATTTTAATCCTAAACGTAAAGACAAATCATTTGGTACTCTTTTTCAACTGTGCTGATTTAATTAAAAAAAAATAAAAAATAAAAAAAAATTTATTTGGGGACTGGATTCATTTTAGTGTAACATCTACTAAACCCACAATTTGTTTCAAGATGTTCAAACTTTTTTTTTTTAATTTAAAAATAAAAATCAGTCTACAAAGTGGTGGGGTCTCCACTTTGAGTGTTAAAATCATGATGGCAAAAAAAAAAAAAAAAAGATCCGATTCAGATTAAAGTGACAGATCATGTGAACACATCCCGCTTTTAGTTGATGCTAAAAAAAAAAAGCCCACGGCCAGCTGGTGACATCATTCATTCAGCGGCTTGACTTACAATGAACCCGATGACTGAAACAAGTGACACACACGCATCATATTTCATCAATGGCCCAAATTTCTCGGTCGCGCCACAACCACGGACATGGATCAAGAATAAATGTCAAAGGAATGAAACAACAAACTTGTGTCGGCGTCCCCTTCGAGTGTGAAAAAGATGACTGGAGGGGCTGCGTCATCCATTCCGGCCAGGAAAATCACACACAAGGCACATCTGGAAGACACATTGAAATATTCACAGGAAAAGGAAATACAGTGCCAAAAACAAAAA